TCCTTTAGGATGGACTGGTTGGATCTCCTTGCAGTCCAAGGGACTCTCAAGAGTCTTCTCCAACACCACAATTCAAAAGCATCAATTCTTGGGTGCTCAGCTTTCTTTACAGTTCAACTCTCACATCTATACATGACTAGTGGAAAAACCATAGCCTTGACTAGACGGACATTTGTTGGCGAAGTAATGTCTCTGCTTTTTAATATGCTCTCTAGGTTGGTCATAGCTTTTCTTCCAAGGAGCAAGGATCTTTTAATTTCATGGTTGCAGTCACCATCTGCAGTGATTTTGGAGCCCCCCAAAATAAAGTCTCTCACTGTTTCCTTTGTTTCTCCATCTATTTGCCATGAAGTGATGGGAGCAGATGCCATGATCTTCGTTTTCTGAATGCTGAGCTTTAAGCCAACTTTTTCACTTTCCTCTTTCACTTTCATCAAGAGGGTCTTTAGTTCTTCTTCGCTTTCTGCCATAAGGGTGGTGTCATCTGCATATCTGAGGTAATTGATATGTCTCCTGGCAATCTTGATTCCAGCTTGTGCTTCATCCAGCCCAGTATTTCTTGTGATGTACTTTGCATAAAAGTTTAATAAGCAGGGTTTAATAAGCAGTTTAATATACCTGCAATAATGTCATGATAATATTCTGGCATAAGTACTTATATTGTTTATCCCAAGTTCTCAGTCCTTCTCTGGCCTTTAAACATATCTTAAATAATATAAATTATTTGGATATATTGTTAATGGGATTTCCCTGGTTGTCCAGTGGCTAAGACTCTGCACTTCCTCTACAGGGGTATAGGTTGCATTCTTGGTCCAGGAACTAAGACCCCCCATGCTGGGAGGTGTGGCCAAAAAGTAAGTACATACATATGTAAATAAATGATTAGAAAAAGTACTGTTAGTGACTCAATTTGGGAACAAAAATTTCATACCACTCTTCTCTTAAGGAATATTTAGAGATTGGAAACTGACCTGTTAAAAAAGATCTTGTATCTGCAACTGTTTATGTGGGAAAATAAGGATTTTCTTTGTAGTGTATAATCAAAACAAAAGACAGAGATAAAGTATCTACAACTCTAATGATAAATGTGTGCAGCAACTTAACTATTCCCATTGCGTTCCTATGAAAATACTTTACATATGATTTCACTAAATATTTTAAAATACCAATTAATTTTTTGGCTGTGTTGGGTCTACATTGTTACATGGGCTTCTCCTAATGTTCAGCACAGGCTCTAGAGTACACTGGCTTCAGTAGTTTCAGCTGGAAGTTTGTGGAGCCCAGGTGCACGGACTCAGTTGCTCTGAGGTGTGTGGGATTTTCCCAGAGCAGGGATCAAAATTTTGTCTCCTGCATTGGCAGGCAGACTCTATGGCAGAGCCGCCAGGGAAGCCCTGATGTCACTAAATATACTTATAAATACTGCTTTAAATTCACTTTACACAATGGAATTTCCCATAAAATTTTATTTGGAAGACATTCTATATTCAGTTACACCATGGTATAAAAATGGAAGAGGACAATGATACCTAGAGATGGTGGAATATATCTTGTGCAATTCTTTGGGGAAATAAAGGTGAACTTTGGGTTGTTTCAGGTGAAGAAAGTAGATGGGACTATAGAGAAGAGAATTTATTTCACATGGTGTCTTTCTGCATTAGTGATTTTAATATGGATTCTTAGAAGTTATCAACAACTGGTCAGATAAAAAAATTTTTTTTGTAATACACTCCTCTCTGGACTGACCTAGGCAATCCTGGGCTCAGTCTTCTGCTTCCATCACTTTCTTGATCCAGTCCACATAGTTGAGGAGATTGGTGTAGAACCCATACCCTTCTCCACACCCGATGCCCCAGGACACGATGCCCGTGGCCACCCAGCGGTCATTTTTCTTATCACTCACTGCAAAGACCCCTCCACTATCCCCTTGGCAGGAATCCTGCCTTGTGGCTGGGTTCCCAGCACAGAACATGTTTTCAGAAAACACATCATTCCTGTTTTTTTGCCGGAGCCAGCGCTCGCAAATCTCTCGCCTAGCTACTGGCAGACGGACAAATCTGAGGTTGTGAGAAATTCTCTCCTCCATGATCCCAAAGCCACTGACATAGCCCACGAGACCCGGGTCATAGAAGGTCTCGTTGTCTGGGAGGCAGATGGGCAGGAGGTTGGGGCCTAGGGTGACGCTATTTTCCAGCTCCAGGAGGGCGATGTCCCCCTCAAAATTGTGGGACTCTTCCTGGCGGTAGTCTGGGTGGATTATGACCCTACGGACTGGGTGGTTGGACAGCTTGGTGATATCTTCCACGTTGATGTGGCCCAGGAACACGTCTAAATTGGGGCTGCCCTGTGCCTCGTGGTCCTTGGGGTAAATGGTGTGCGCGGCTGTGACGATCCAGCGGTCCCCCAGCAATGCGCCACCCCCGGGCCCGTGGATGTTGGTGTAGGCCTGCCAGGGGAAGTTGCCCAGCTTGGCCTTCTGGCCTCCAATGATGCGTTGCCTCTGCTCCACGGGGTGGACTGGCTTCCCGCATACTGGTGAGGAGACAATGGAGGGGCGGGGGGCGTAGAAAAGTCAGCACCTGGCCACCCGCCTCCCTCCAAGGCCTGGCCCCTCCCCTTGGCCCCTCTTTTTAGTTCAGGGCCTTTTCCTCTCTCCCCATCCTCCCCCGCCACCCCTCTCCTCACNGATCCCTATATGTGAAAGTTGACACAAAAACTGGAAGGAACTTATCAAGAAGATCTTATCATTATTGCATCTTGGTGCTGGGGAGCGGATGATAGTGGGAGTTATGTTTTCTTGTTTAGTTTTTTGAGGGTGTTTTTTTGGCTCTGCTGTGCAAATCTTAGTTCCCCAACCACGGATTGAACCCGAGCCCTCAGCAGTGAAAGCGTGGAGTCCTAATTGCTGGACCATCAGGGAATTCCCCGTAGCTATGTTTTCTGATTGTGGACAGTGTACCTTGCTTGACGCTCAGCATTTTATCTCATTGACACACCTTGGTGATGCTTTCAGATATGCATCATCAGCCTCCTCCTAGAGACAAGCAGGGCTTCCCTGGTGTATCAGACGGTAAAGAGCCAGCCTGCAGTGCAGGAGACCAGGGTTTGATCTCTGGGTCAGGAAGTACCCTGGAGAGGGGGAAGGCTACCCATTCCAGTATTCTTGCTTGGAGAATTCCATGGACAGAGGAACCAGGCAGGCTACAGTCCATGAGATCTCAGAGTCGGACACGACTGAGTGACTAACACTAGAGTTGAGGAAACTGGGTTTAAATAATTTACACGAGGTCATATAACTTCCAAGTGCCAGAACCAAGATGCAAATGGACAGTTGTCTTACTTCAAAGTCCAGCTCTTATATAATACCTTATATAGCCTGTGAACTTGGAGAAGGAAATGGCAACCCACTCCAGTATTCCTGCCTGGAGAATCCCATGGACAGAGGAGCCTGGCAGGCTACAGTCCATAGGGTCACAATGAGTCGGACATGACTGAGTGACTAACAACAGCAACAGTAATAGCCTATAAACAAGATATTTTTTTTTCTCTTTTTGGCATGTTTTAAATCTACAAATCATGTGATTTCTTTCATTAAAAAGTTTTTAAGATACCCACTGATGAGTCTGAAAGCAATTTAGTAGTGCAAAAAGTCACAACACAGCAACCTGAGAGGGGATGTGGGGACAGTGCTGAGGAAACCCCACTGATAAACCTGTAGTGGGGGTGCTGGTGGGGGTGGGGTGAGAGAGAGCTGTTTATGAGATTCAAGTCTTTCATTCTATCAGCTCAAATGTTTCCTTTTCCAACCTTATTAGAAGCCTCTTGGCACCCCTGAAGCCAGTGCCCGGGATAAATATCTTAATATTCCCTCCTTGGAGACTCTGTTGAAAGAAATTGCAGAAGATGTTCCCACAAGAGGGAGAAGGTGGCCATGTACACCTGTCCTTACCTCGCTCAGACTCGCGTGTGCTGTCTTTGGTGTGCATCTTGTAGAAGGGCTCATGGCAGTAGTACTGGATGCGGGCCTCGTAGGTATTCACCCCTTCTCTGGTGATGTAATTGAAGACCCCATTGGGCAGGCTTCGGGGCCGCCCACAGTTCTTGACTTGGAGAGAACACAGGGCCATGTGAGAACTGAGGACTGTACCGGAACTTCAGTGGGAGGGGCGGGAACCCACTGAACATGCTGAGAGCCTTCGGGAGATATGGTCACTGGGGGCTTTCGTGATGCATGAGAATTGGATGGGATAAAACTCAGTTCTGGGCAGAGCCCCTCATCTGCAGAGATGAAGGCCGACTGGTTCCCGGTGGGCTGGAGCCTTCAAAGGACAAGTCGGGGGAATGGCTTTTGGGGGGCGATGCTTAGGCCTGACCCTCTTCCCTTCTCCTGGGGGGAGACACATGCTTGAGTTGCAACTTACTCCTGCACCTGGGCATGGCTCGGTGCCATGTGCCATCATCCTGGCAGACAGCTGTGAAGGATAGGAGCACCTTGTTGCCCTGTTGGAGCAGAGGTGGAGAAGCCATTAGTATAAGGAGACCCTGAGGCTCCCTCCTGCCCTTGCCCACAGGGGAGCAGTAAGGATGCAAAGTCAGCTCTCAGCTCTTGAACCTCAACACCTGTGGATGTGGCCCCTGGGCCCCTCTTCCTAGCCAGTCATCTCAGACCAGACTGACTGCACTGAGCCATGCAGCAGGAAGCCAGAGCTGGGGACTTGCCCGGTGGTCTAGTAGTTAAGAATCTGCCCTCCAGTGTCAGGGAGTGGGTTCGATCCCTGGTCGAGGAACTAAGATCCCATATGCTGGGGAGCAACTAAGCTTGAATGCCACAGCTACTGAGCCCGCATGCTGACACATCCAAATAGGTAAATAAATAAATAAATAAATAGTTTAAAAAAAAAATCAGAGCAAGGGCTAGTTGTTATACCCAATAATCCCCTCTCTAGACTCTTGGGATTTCAAGAGTTTCCACTGAGGTCCAGTTGAACCCCATAATTTTATTTTTAAAAATATTTATTTATTTATTATTATTTATTTTGGCTGCTTTGGGTCTTAGTTGTGGCACTCAGGATCTTCGATCTTCATTGTGGGATCTTTAGTTGAGGTGTGTGGGGTCAGGTTTCCCGACCAGGAATCGAACCCAGGCCCCCTGCTTTGGGAGTGCAGAATCTCAGACACTGGAATACCAGGGAAGTCCCTGAACTTCACAATACCAGGGAAGTCCCTGAACTTCACAATTTTTAATTAAAAAGCAAACAAGCCACAAGCACAGTTGCACATTCTCTGCATTGATACAAAAGTCTCTGCCCTGAAGTAGGGCCATGTTTCTTCCCTCTGGACTGCTCTGCCAGGTAAGCCCCGTATCACCCCATTGCCCCCAGACTGCAGGCTTCTCAAGGCTAAGGGTCTTTCCTAAAATGCTAGTGCAGCCCAGCCACTTTCAAGGGGGCTCAAGATGCTGACATATGCTAAGTGCTATCCTAGGCCAACAGATGGCAGGGACAGGCCAGGAGACAGCACCCTCTGAGATGAAAAGTAACTGGAGAACATGAATGAGCTTTATTAACACCAACAATCATCTCAGATTGTTAGCCCTGGATCAGACTGCAAGAGAATGTGCATAAGAACTAGGATATCTGAGCAAAATGTAAATTATCATGTAGTCGCTCAGGCATGTCCCAACTGTTTTGCAACCCCATGGACTGTAGACCGTCAGGTTCCTCTGTCCGTGGACTTTTCCAGGCAAGAATACTGGGGTGGGTTACCAGATCCTTCTTCAGGGGAATCTTCCCCACCCAGAAACTGAACCCATGTCTCCTGCATTGCAGGTGGAGTCTTTACTGCTGAGTCAAATAAAAAGTAAATAATGTGAGATAAACTGTGTGACTAGGTTTAAAGTTGATGATGTGAATGATAAGTGATAAGGTAAGGGTGCTGATGGCATAGATGGGGCAGGTTGTAACCTGAACGGTGGGGAGGGGTGTGCCCAGGACCCCCAGTCCTTCCTGGACTAATGAGCAGTGATCTGGCTGACTCATCTCTATTCAAAGGTAAGCTCCATGAAACCTGTGTGAACATGTGTGTTTCTTTTATTGTACCTCCCACATCCAGAACACTGCCTGTCACTGAATCAACACTTAAAATGTTTGTTGGGTGAATTCACCACAACCAACCAAAGGTCTCTTCTCTGATTCAGGGTGGGTCTTCCGAGGGGACCTACTGGACAAAGATGGGATGTCCAGTCCCAGGCCCCTGGCCAGGGTAACTCCAATTGTATGGTCCATAAAAATAGCATTTATTTATGTATTTATTATTATTAATTGCCTTTACTGGTTCCTCACTGCTTTCTGTAGTTGTGGTGCACAGGCTTAGGTGCCCTGAGACATGTGGGATCTAAGCTCCCCAACCAGGGGTCACACCCACGCCCCCTGCACCAGAAGGTGGATTCTTAACCACTGGACCACTAGGCAGTCCCGAGAGTAGCATTTTAGTTTCCCGGCTTTTGTGAGATTCACCAGTGGAGCAAACCACATTCTCTCCTGGGTCTGCAAAGCTCTGGACAGGGTGGTGGGTCTGGGGTAAGACCACCGGTGGACATAAACGGAGCCTCTTCTGATTGTTCGATGGAATGCTGCCCGATTCATGAATCATCGAGTAAAGCCAGGTAGGTTTTAAAAACAAAAATCGAGAGCCCTGGGGCAAGAGGCAGGGGATTTGTCCCTGTTGTACACAATCCCAGTGATGTTGAGTGAGTGAGGTCTTGCTCTTCAACTCCACCCCCGCCTGTTTGGTTCCTCACTGCATAGTGAGTTATAGGGCCAGGTCCCATAGTTCTTAGACTTGGCTGGGCATTAGAATCACCAAGTAACTATAGGTAATCCTGATACCCATGCTCCCCTTCAGACTCATGGACTAGTCTCTAGCAGGGGACTGGACATCAGAATTTTGAAATCCTATTTCTAGTGTGTGGTCAAGTTGGAGCAGGCTGGGTAACCCTTCCAGCTCAAACATGCTTATGTTTCCATGTGGGGCTGAGCCTCCATAGTCCGTGTGAATTATGCCGGACTCTGGGTCAGCTCCCTCCCCTCGGCCCTGGCTCTTACCTCCACGAGCTCGTAGCCTTTTTTGCACGTGGCGATGAAATAGTCCCGGTACTGGTATTGAGGCTGCGGGTCCTGAATGATGGTGTATGAGTCCAGGGTCTTCGGCTGGGGGCACTTGATGACTATTACGGAGATCAGAGGGCACGTTTATTTCTGAGCCACTGGCCTCCGTTCTAACTGCCTCATCCTGCCCCCTTTCTGGCCCCTGAGGGCCCCAGGCAGCCTTACCTTCACTAGTGTAGTACAGCTTCCAGCCCCGGCTGTCCCCTGACTCGTCCGTGAAGAAGAGCAGGTCCACCGAGTTGCTTTGGGCATCAATGTGCTCGGGCCTTTGCTTTCCACAGAGCTCACCAATGTTCCTCCCCTTGACATAGATCTGTGGTGGTGGTGGGGGTGGACAGAGGGAGGGTCATGTGGCCAATTCAGACACAGGGCTAAGGCAGTGGTGCCGGTGGTGTGGATCCTGCTTGGTGTATGTTTTCAGCTGGCGAGGAGAAAGCCTCCCTAGGACCCACTGGCCAGGAGTGTGCACTAACTTGCTCAGTCGAGTCCAACTCTCTGCAACCTTATGAACCGTAGCCTGCCAGGCTCCTCTGTCCATGGAATTCTCCAGGCAAGAATACTGGAGTGGGTTGCCATGACCTCCTCCAGGCAATTTTCCCGACCCAGGGATTGAACCTGAATCTCTTACATCTCCTGCATTGGCAGATGGGTTCTTTACCACTAGAGACACCTGGGAAGCCAGGAGTGTAGGACAACTCATGTGGGACATTGGCCATTTCTGCACCCATTGGCCAGATGGCCCAGTGGGGAGGAGGGATGAGAGGAGACGTGTGGGGATGGGGACGAGAGTTTCTGGGGGTGGGTTGGCTGTACCTGCAGCTGGTCGTAGGGACAGTGTATTTGCTGGTGGTCATCAATTTCAAAAGGCTCCAGGAATTGGAGGTGGAGGGTGTGGCCCCGCTCTACTCGGATACTGTAGTTGCAGCGCAGGTCGGGGGGGTAGGGTTGGGGGTACTCCAAGCTGGAGATGTAGCCGGAGGGCTCCGTGAACAGCTCGCTGCTGCACTCGGCTGGGAGAGCAGAGCGAGAGCAGGTCACCCAGCGAGCCCCACCTTGCTCAGCCCCTGCCTCCTCTGGGACCACCCAGGCAGGACCTCACCCTGGCAGGAACGCCCATCCTGCTGGAGCTCATAGCCTGGACGGCAGGAGCAGAAATAGCCGCCGACGTAGTTGTGGCACAAGTGTTGGCACCGAGGCGGGGTGTCCTCCTCAACCGAGTTGAGCTGCAAGGCACATTCGTCCAGGTCTGGAAGAAATTCCGGAAGGAGGGATTCAATCCCACAGAAGCTAGGGTGGAGGCCGGGGGAGGGACCTTTGGAGGCGCTGGTCTCAGTGAGGTCACTCATTAGAGGCCTAAGGACAAGGTTATCTCAGGCCACCTGGAACTCTGGGCCCCTCTGACCCTTTCTGGGACCTGCTCAGTGGGGACAGGACCCCGGGGGATAGCCCTCTCCTAGAAAAAGCTCTCTTGGGAAAAAACAAGAAAGCTTGGCTTCCCAAATCTTTGGATTCAAGAATCCCCCTTTCTGGCCCCCATTCAGTATGAGCCCAGGAGCCAGCACAGGCGCCACTCACCCACGGCTTGGTAGTATGCCAGGAAGCCCTTGTAGAACATGATGGTGCCGTTCTCCTCATTGGAGAAGTCCGAGTGGAAGGTCAGCAGCATCTTGTTCCCTTGGGACATGAATTCCTTCCTTCCTGGGGGGTTGCCCAGGGGAGAACTCAGCTGCCCACAGAACCTCCCCATGGTCTTCTTATCAGCAGAAATCTGTGGAGGAGGGACAGGCAGACAAGCTGTTGAGGGGACACATCCCACATGGAAGGTTATGAAGGTCATCCTTCTCTTATCCCAGAGAGGGGATCCCGCCCCCTCCTCCCCGCCCCACTGGATGGTCTCTAGCTGCTGTCTACCTGCTGGGCTCTGGCTATTCCAACTTCCCCAGAGGCCTTTCCTCTGTCCTGCATCTCCATCGATTGACCTTGCACGTTATCCCGTGCCTGGACTCGGCCCTCCCTTTTTATGATCCCCAGCTAAAACAAACCTAGACAGCATGTTAAAAAGCAAAGACATCACTTTGCTGAGAAAGGTACGTCTAGTCAAAGCTATGATGTTTCCAGTAGTCATGTATGGATGTGAGAGTTGGACCATAAAGAAGGTGGAGTGCTGAAAAACTGATGCTTTCAAATTGTGGTGCTGGAGAAGACTCTTGAGAGTCCCTTGGACAGCAAATAGATCAAACCAGTCAATCCTAAAGGAAATCAACTTTGATTATTCACTAGAAGGACTGATGCTAAAGCTGAAGTTCCAATACTTTGGCTACCTAATATGAAGAGCTGACTCATGGAATTGTCCTTGATACTGGGCAAGATAGAAGGCAGGAGGAGAAGGGATGACAGAGGATGAGATGGTTGGATGGCATCACTGACTCAATAGATTCAAGCAAACTCGCAGACATGCTGAAGGACAGGGAAGCCTGCTGTGCTGCAGTCCATGGGGTTGCAAAGAGTCTGACATGACTTAGTGACTGAACAACAACGTGTGTCAGACCTTTCTTTACCCCCATCTCTTCCTGTGTCCACCTCCCACTGGAATCCTGGTCACCTCTACCTGGTTTCTACCATTCCTTCATCCCTAGAGCCTGGATGATCTGCTTTACCCCCTGTCCTGTCCTTCCACCTTGTCTTGGTCAACCCATTCCTGTCCAGCCATGACTCCTGATATTCAGCTGAATGTGAGCATCCAGGACCCGCCAGCTTAGCAAGCATCACTGAGTTCCCCTTACCTCTATTCCTTCACAGATTCCTGAACTACTGCAAAGCAGAAGACGTCCCCCTCCTACCTCATCCGCACTTTGCCTGCCACCAGGACCCTCCCTACCAGCACTGCTGACATCTTAAGTCCTCTGGGCTAGTGAGATATGGCATTTTCATGGTATTCTTTTATATCCCCAGGGGATCTCCTGGAAATAGTGTTTATGGGCTCTATCTGAATCCTGAATCAAGAATCTCATTTTGTGTGTGTGTGTCTGCTGTGCAGTGCAGTAGGCGGGATCCTAGTTTCCTGTTTCCCAGGAATCAAACCGGGGCCCCCTGCCTTGGGAGCACAGAGTCTTAGCCACTGGACCACTGGGGAAGTCTCCAGGAATCTCATTTTTATTGGATGTAGAAAGAGGGACTGGGGTGGGGCCCTCGGTCGTGACAGAAGAGAGGGGACTGAGCCCACTGTCCTGGCTGGAGACCACCCTTGAGCCACCACCACACACATGCTGCTTCCTCGTGTCCCTGTGTTCCTGGTGAGGAGGCAGCCACGGTGACACTCTCCATGGCAACAGGGAATCCGAGGCATGGAAGTTTCCAAAATCCTCTGGGCAAGTAAGCAGACAGGGAGGGTTTTTTGGGGACTTCTGTGGACAGTGCATTCCCCAAGAGCAAGGCCTGTCCCCTCCCTCTCTGTTTCTCCCCTCTGTGCTCCATGAGGGTCTCTCAGACCAGTGGCCACCCATCTTCGACACCCCTAGACTCCCAGAACCCCACCTGACCATCGGCTTTTACCAGCTTGAGGCTGTGTCCCCAGGCAGGGTGTGCTATCTAGGCCGGTCAGAACTCGGGTCCCCAGGTTCCAGCGACACTCAGTTCTCCCTCTGCCCACCCCCTTAATCTGCCCCCTACCTTGACATAGTCATAGAAACAACCTTCCGAAGGCTCCAGGTCAAACTGCCAGAAGACAAGCTTCACCCTGTACCCCGTGGGTACTGTGATCACAGTGGTCCTCTCAAAATTGTTAGGGTAAGGCTTGGGGAACAAAGGGGATGTCACCTCCCCGTAGAGCCTCTGAGGGGTAGGGATGGTGCCTCCAACACCGTAGAACAGGACCGGCAGCAGGAGGTAGAAAAGCCACCTGCCAAAAGAAAAAAGGTATCTGTAGGGCGGGAGGGGTGCAGACCCAAGCTGTTTGGTAGGGGATGGGATTGCCGTACCGCCGGGCATTTTTCTCTCGGTCCATTCTAGATCTCAGGGAGATGTCCTAGGGTGAGAGGGGAGGGTGCAGGGGGGAGGCTGGTCCCTGCAGCTGCTGCACTGGGTGCTCCTCCCCAGGGCAGTGTCCAGTCCAGAGGTCAGCACACTCCCCCCACCTCTCTCCCCAGCCTCCTCCTTGCCCTGTTGCATCACTATGATCCCCTTCCAGGAATCAGGCTGGCTTGGACCAGTAAACTGAGGGTGAGGGTTTCCAGTCATGGTCTCCGAAATGGCTCCCACATGTTCAGCAAGGCCTCTGGGAGAGACCACCTATGGAAGAGGGTCTCAGGCACAGAAGCTGACCCTCCAGGTTGAGGGACTCCTCCCCACCTTGCTGCTCCCTATGAGCTGGAGGAGGAAGGCAGTGTGGCCTCACCTCCTGGGTCTGAGTCTCCTTTCTCCTTGGAAGGAGAGATGGGGCATGTGTTTGTGAGCGTGCATGCGTGTGCATATTGGAGAGATAAGGTGTATGGGGAGGGGCCGGGTGCTCCCACCTCCCTGAGTAAGTCTGGGCACAGGGGGCCCCCCATGCCCAGGATCGTCCCCTCTGGTGTCTCCCTCCTTCCTTGGTCCCCACCAGGCTTACTCACATTTCTCAAGGCCTGTTGTTGGATCCCTGACGCTCGTGACAGCGTCTTCATGCACTCTGGGTGCAGAGAGAGCAGGGTCATGCAGGGGAGGGAAGGGGAAGGGAGGGACTGTGGAGGGGGAAGGGGTGACCATTCCGGGAGGAAGGTTGTAGGGAATGAACTATTTGCATAAACAAAACCAAAAAAGAAAAAAACAATTCTGTTTCGGTTTAGTTTTGGTTGTGAAATGCCTGATGGTGCTGCCACCTGCTGGCCTTCAGGGTAAGGGCTAGAGAAGGTTCTGCATTTTTAGGGACAGAAAAGCCTTGGGTTGGAGGCCCGGAGGTCCCTTTCTAAAGCTGAGGGGAATCCCCACCCTTCCTCAGGGCCCTTTCTGGTGACTGCAGCTGAGTGTTCAGGGTTCCTATCCAAAGAGCAGTGGAAATCGCAGTTGAGGGGGGGTCTTTTGTGACCCTTTCTTCTCCTTTAACCCCGTTCTCCCTGTCCTTAGTTAGCCAGAAGCTCTGGTGCAGGAATGACCAGGGTTCAATGCCAGGATAATGGCACAGGAGTGAGGATTAGCGATGGGGCGTGCAGGAGGGCGCAGAGGAGACAGACGCTTGCTTGACCTGGGGTCCCGCCCTGCTTCCCTCAGAAATTACACGTAGAGGGAACTTACCTGAAGCTCTAGTGGTGAAAACTCCGTGTTTCCAATCCCTGGTCAGGGAACTAAGATCCCACATGCCATGCAGTGCAGCTAATAAAGAAATTGAAAAAGATGACAAGTAGAACAGGGACTGCCATGACCCCAAAGCACCACTAGGCTCTGTTTTAAGACCCTCCCTGGACTTCCCTGGTGGTCCAGGGGTTAAGACAACCAGCTTCCCAGGCAAGTGGCGTTGATCCCTGATCAGGGTACCAAGATCCAAGCAGAAAAAAAAAGAAAAAGAAAAAGGCCCTTCCTCCCCCCCTCAATGGACTCAGGCCTGCCAATGAACTTGTCCCTTAGGGAAACAAGGGCAACTGAGGATGGGATGGAGATATCCTTTTATCCTTAGCATCTGGTCCAGAGTGTGAGCCCCTGAGGGTCATGGCATCAGGGGCTGGGCAAACAGGCTGGCTGTGGACCACCAGTTGTAGATGTGACTGGTAATGGAAGTAAAGTCTGATGCTATAAAGAACAATATTGCATAGGAACCTGGAATGTTAGGTCCAGAATCAAGGTAAATTGGAAGTGGTCAAATAGGAGATGGCAGGAGTGAACACTGACATTTCAGGAATCAGTGAACTAAAATGGACTGGAATGGGAGAGTAGGAGTAGGAGTAGGTCAGATGACCATTATATCTACAACCGTGGGCAAGATTCCCTTAGAAGAACTAGAGTAGCTCTCATAGTCAACAAAAGAGCCCAAAATGCAATATTTGGGTGCAATCTCAAAAAACAACAGAATGCAAAGAAATAGAGAAAAACAATAGAATGGGAAAGACTAGAGATCTCTTCAAGAAAATCAGAGATACCAAGGGAAGATTTCACACAAAAATGGGCACAATAAAGAATAGAAATGGTATGGACCTAACAGAAGCAGAAGATATTAAGAAGAGGTGGCAAGAATACACAGAAGAACTATACAAAAAAAGGATCATCGAAAAAGCAAGAGAGTTCCAGAAAAACATCTATTTCTGTTTTATTGACTATGCCAAAGCCTTTGACTGTGTGGATCACCATAAACTGGAAAATTTTGAAAGAGGTGGGAACACCAGACCACCTTACCTGCCTCCTGAGAAATCTGTAGGCAGGTCAAGAAGCAACAGTTAGAATTGGACCTGAGACAGACTGGTTCCAAATTGGGAAAGGAGTATGTCAAGGTTGTATATTGTCACCCTGCTTACTTATTTAACTTGTATGCACAGATATCATGTGAAATGAAGTACATTTCATTTTGGGTTGAATGAAGCACATTTCATTTTGGGCTGAATGAAGCACAAGGTGGAATCAAGATTGCTGGGAGAAATATCAGTAACCTCAGATGTGCAGATCATACCACCTTTATGGCAGAAAGCAAAGAGGAACTGAAGAGCCTCTTGGTGAAAGTGAAAGAGGAGAGTGAAAAAGCTGGCTTAAAACTCAACATTCAAAATACTAAAATCATGGCCTCTGGTCCCATCACTTCATGGCAAATAGATGGGGAAACAATGGAAACAGTGACAGACTTTATTTTCTTGGGCTCCAAAATCACTGCAGATGGTGACTGCAGCCATGAAATTAAAAGATGCTTGCTCCTTTGAAGAAAAGCTACGGGCAACCTAGATAGTGTATTAAAAGGCAAAGACATTACTTTGCTGACAAAGATCCATCTTGTCAAGTGGAGGTCACTCAGTCATTTTCCACTCTTTGTGACTCCATGGAATTCTCCAGGCCAGAATACTGGAGTGGGTAGCCTTTCCCTTCTCCAGGGGATCTTCCCAACCCAGGAATCGAACCCAGGTCTTCCTAATTGCAGGCTGATTCTTTACCAACTGAGCTACCATGGAAGCCCACCTAGTCAAAGCGATGGTTTTTTCAGTAGTCATGTATGGATGTGAGAGTTGTCCATGTAGTCCATGGGGTCACTTAGAGTCACAAAGAGTCAGACATGACTCAATGACTGAACTGAACTGAAGCTCATCACTAAATGTAGTCTGAGAGCAGGTGCACAGAAGAGGCCAGGTGGATCCTGGTTGGAGGGTTTCGCCAGCAGGCTTGTTTGTTGGAGCCGAGGAGTGGATCTGCTGGCAGGGCTGATCCATGACATGACCTGCACATGGTCTGTGCCCTGTCAGGTGAGGAAGGACAAAACATAGGTGAGAGGGTGAGGGCCAGATTAGGAGGCAAGAAAGAGGGGGCATCTAGGGACTTCCCTGGTAGTCCAGTGGTTAAGACTTCACCTTCCAATGCAGGGGGTGAGGGTTTGAACCGTGCTTGGGGAGCTAGGATCTCACATGCCTTGTGGTGAAAAAAACCGAAACATGAAACAAAAGCAATATTGTAACAAAGTCAATAAAAACTTTAAAAATGGTCCACACAAAAAAAATCTTTAAAAAGAAAGAATTGGCATCTTGTCTAGCAAATGCAAATTAGAATCTGGATGGCAGTGTGTATGTGTGTGTTGTGTGTTCACTGTGAGGGTAGGATGGCAGATGTGCAGGTAGAAGAGGTGGTTCAAGAAGGTCAGACTTGGCAGAAGCTCTCCCATCTGCCTAGGGGTTCTGAGTTCTGTCCTGGTATCATGTAACATGACTGGACCTCATTAACTTAGCTCCAGCCTGAGCTGCACTCTGCCCAACCACACACAACCTTGACTTATATATAGTGTTAGGATTTCCTGGTGGATCAGCTGGTAAGATCTGCCCCTTGTAGGAGACCCGAGTTCAATACCTGGTTTGGGAAGATCCCCTGGAGAAGGCAATGGCAACCCACTCCAATGCTCCTGCCTGGAGAATTACATGGACAGAGGAGCCTGGTGGGCTACAGTTCATAGTGTCGCAAACAGCTGGACATGACTGAACAACTTAACACTTTCAGTTCCTTCATATGTTGTGTCACACCCTTGACTTATACCCTGGGCAGAAAGAAGAAATGGCCTTGTGATGATTGCTCACGCACTTGTTTTGAAACCAGTCTTGAAGACATTGTTATATTGATCATGCCTTGTATGATTTGATTCTGGGGAGAAAAAAGTTTCTTAAGGTAATGTAAGTTTTTCCTCTGAGGATATATTTATGTCTATATAACTATATCAGTTCAGGTCAGTCGCTCAGTCATGTCCGACTCTTTGCCACTCCATGGACTGCAGCATGCCAGGCTTCCCTGTCCATTACCAACTTCTGGAGCTTGCTCAAACTCATGTCCATCGAATCGGTGATGCCATCCAACCATCCCTTCCTCTGTCGTCCCCTTCTCCTCCTGCCTTCAGTCTTTCCCATCATCAGGGTCTTTTCAAATGAGTCAGTTCTTCACATCAGATGGTCAAAATATTGTAGTTTCAGCCTCAGCATCAATCCTTCCAGTGAATATTCAGGACTGATTTCCTTTAGGATTGACTGGTTTGATCTCCTTGAAGTCCAAGGGACTCTCAAGAGTTTTCTCCAACAAGACAGTTCAAAAGCATCAATTCTTCAGCACTCAGCTTTCTTTATAGTCCAATTCTCACATCCATAATGACTACTGGAAAACCCATAGCTTTGACTAGATGGACCTTTGTCGGCAAAGTAGTGTCTCTGCTTTTTAATATGCTCTGCTTTTAATGTCTCTGCTTTTTAATCTTTTAATATGCTGTTTAGATTTAACTATATACCTGTACCTATATCTGTATCTACCTCTATCTATATCTAGATATGTCTAGATCAAAATATATTGACATAGACATAAAGATTCCACTGTTTACTAAATTTTATTAAGAGTATATATTAGTTTTATTTATCTATTTTGATGATTGAAAAAATGATACAAGTTTCTCCCTG